AACATAAAAATGTTTGAAGTGTTCTCCATGTCTGGAAGGTAGCTCAAACATCAAATATTCCTGGATCCGTCACTGATATTTATATATATAATATATGCATATTTATATTATATTTATATTATAATATATATGCAACCCTCAGAATTTAGAGGTTGGTAAAAAAATTTTGATACAAAAATCTTGCCTTAAAACATAGAAACAGAGTTGGCATTTTTTTTCTGACCCTAATCCCAAGTGTTGTATGGGCATATATGATATATGCAGTTATATATAAATATATATGTATATATGATTCAAGTTTAATTTATATTTTATATATATGTATATATATATATATATATATATATATATATATATATATATATATATATATATATATATATATATATATATATATACATGTATATAAAATATATATATTTTAATCCCAAGTGTTGTATAGGCATATATGATATATGCAGTTATATATAAATATATATGTATATATGATTCAAGTTTTATTTATATTTTATATATATGTATATATATATATATATATATATATATATATATATATATATATATATATATATATATATATATATATATATATATATATATAACCTTGAAACATAACCATGTAAACACACACACACACACATACACACTCACATATATAAATTATGTTAGTGTATTTTACAAATAGAGTGCTCAATGTTCTTAAAGAACAGAGCAATAATAAATCAAGTTAAATTAGTAAAACTTAGCTCTTAGAACAGACAGCTGATCTTGAATCTGATTTCACTTCTTTAACAGATTGGGGCTTACAGTGGCTTGTAAATTTTAACCCTAACAAAACTCAGTTTTTTTTTACTGCAAACAACTATTGCAGTACTGTCAACGTTCCTATATTAATGACTGGCAAATCTCTCACTAAGTTCTCTTTTTTACGTCTTCTTGGATTATTGTTTACTACTGACCTTTAATTGAAATAATATATACAATTGATTGCTAAATTAGCATCTGCTAAGGTTGTTTCTCTTTATTGTGCTCACCATTTTCTCTCTCCTGATTTTATTCTCTACCTCTACAAATCTGCTATTCATTCCTGTATGGAATACTGCTGTCATATTTAGGCTGGTTTTTCTAATGATGCTCTTTATCTTCTCGACAAGGTCCAAAAACACATTGTAAACACAGTTGTACCTGCTCTATCTGCTAAGCTTAAACTTCTTTTCCATCGTCATAAAGTTGCATCTCTTTCTCTTTTCAACAAATACTGTCATGGTCGCTGCTCAAACTCATTCTTGCTTGATTTCTCATTCAGTAAAGTCTCATTCTTTAACTGTATCTGTCCTTGCATGCTTTAAAAATTTTTACTTGTCTAGTTTTTTCCCTCGCATCTGTACACTTTCGAAACCTCTTCTATTTCATGTTTTTCTGAAAAACATGAAAAACATGAAAATTTCCTTGTTCTATAACTCTATTATTTTTTTCTATCAACTCCCAACTTTATAGTGGTTGCTTGCAGCCTTGTTGGGAGTGAATCAGAATTTAAAAAAAAAAAAACTTATCTAACTTTTGTCTTAAACAAGTTGTTTCACCATCAGTAGGTTCATCAGGAAGCTTCCTAATGAACATGCTAATGACGAAACAACTTGTTGAAGACAAAAACTAGATAATTGTTTTTTTTTTTTTTTTTTTAATTCTGATTCACTCCCAACAAGGCTGCAAGCAACCACTATAAAGTATATATATATATATATATATATATATATACATATATATATATATATATATATATATATATATATATATATATATATATATATATATATATATATATATATATATATATATATATATATATATATATATATATATATATATATATATATATATATATATATATATATATATATATATATATATATATATATATATATATATATATATATATATATATATATATATATATATATATATATATATATATATATATATATATATATATCATATATATATATATATATATATATATATATATATATATATATATATATATATATATATATATATATATATATACAGTGGTGTACACTGGATTTTTAGATGTTTGAGTTTTAAAACTTACACGCATTATGCAAACTCCAAACTTTTGTATGTTCATACTTATGTCAAATGAGAATGTTTTGCAAAAAGTTGTGGTTGGGGACAAAAAAACCCCAATTTTCGGGCCCACCCAGCTCTTAATGTGGGAGCAACAAGTTGATAAAATAATTTCTTTGTGTATTTTTATCTAAGTTTATATTCATCAACGAATTTCAAATTTCATGCAATAACCTCTTAGTTTTTAGTTTTTATGACCCTACAAAGTTTACAGCCCCCTCAAATTGAGGGGGGTTAAAACTTTATATGGTCATAATTTTAAAAAAATAAGAAATTATTGGATGAAATTTGAAATTTGTTGATGAATATAAACTTAGATAAAAATACTAAAAAAATTATTTTATCAACTTTTTGCTCCCACCATAAGGGCTGGGTGGACCCAAAAATTGGGTTTTTTTTGTCCCTAAGCTCTTATCACCAAAACTCTTTGCAAAACATTCTCATTTGACATAAGCATAAACATACAAAAGTTTGGAGTTTGCACAATACCTGTAAGTGTCAAATCTCAAAAATCTAAAAGTCCAGTGTACTTCACTGATATATATATATATATATATATATATATATATATATATATATATATATATATATATATATATATATATATATATATATATATATATATATATATATATATATATATATATATATATATATATATATATATATATATATATATATGTATATATATATATATATATATATATATATATATATATATATATATATTTATATATATATATATATATATATATATATATATATATATATATATTTATATACGACTTTTGAGGATACGTTTTTTTTGTTCCTGTTCTGTTGTTTTTATTTTTATTTTAATTGTATATAATAATCATAATTTTTTATTTTATATTATATTTAAAAATATAATATAAAAAAAAATAAATAGAAATAACAAAAAATACATTTTTGTTATTTCTTTTTATTTATTTTATATTATATTTTATTTTTAATAAAATATTTTATCTTAATGTTAAACCTTATTGGACAAACATTGCTTTTGCAAATATCCATTATTACATCAACTAGGTAAACAACATCAAATTTTAAATATGTAAAATTTTCTTGATGATATTATTAGTTAATGTTTATTGTTTGAATTTATTTATATTATAATCACGTTTAAACTTTAATCAACTAAATTTGTCTCTTTAAAAGATAGATATTTTACTTCCTTTTAAAGAGTGTGTATCTAAATCAAAAAATGTGTGGACATAACATGGGATAGTTTGTTTATTCCTACATATAATGACTTTTTATTTTATTATTTTATTGGCATAAAAAATTGCAGTCAAGTTGTTATTTTTATATGCATATAGTATAACTAACTAATAACTTATTTTGATTATATATAAATCAAAGTTAAGAAAAACCTTTCTTTTTAACAAGTTTTTCACTTTTTTTATTTTAATTTTATTTTTTATCAAAATTAAATACTTAAAGTTATAATTTTTTTTAGATTTGATCAATATTAACTGGACAATTTTGTTGTCCAATCAAACTCTTTACCTACACCATCCTATTCCACAATACTCTATTGTAGGATGGTAATTGCTAGAATAAAACATTTTTATCATGGCGAATAAGAGCTTTTTATCATTTATTTTATTTTTTATTTTTATTTTTTCCTTTGTTTTATATGCACAATTTTTATTTTTGTATTTTGTTGCTAAGGTTTATGGTTTTTATTGATTGGACCATTTTTTCCTACATTATTTATTTTATTGTAAATCATGTTATTTATAATATATATTTACATATATATGTGTGTGTGTGTGTGTGTGTGTGTGTGTGTGTGTGTGTGTGTGTGTGTGTGTGTATCCATATGTATATAAATATATACATATGTGTATATATATACATATGTATATATATATATATCCATATGTGTATATATATATATATATATATATATATATATATATATAAATATATCTATATATCTATATATATATATATATATATATATATATATATATATATATATATATATATATATATATATATATATATATATATATATATATATATATAATATATATATATATATATATATATATATATATATATATATATATATATATATAAAAATTAGTAGAAAATCACTTAGCAAAATTTTTTCTTATTTAACACTGTGTTTCATCAATAAAGACTCATCAGAAAATTTTTCTGATGAGTCTTTATTGATGAAACACAGTGTTAAATGAGAAAAAATTTTGCTAAGTGATTTTCTACTAATTTGTAATTGCTCTGTTCTTTTAAGAACATTGAGCACTCTTTTTGTAGAATACATTTTAAATTGTTTAAATATATATATATATATATATATATATATATATATATATATATATATATATATATATATATATATATATATATATATGTATATGTATATATATATATATATATAAATATATATATATATATATATATATATATATATATATATATATATATATATATATATATATATATATATATATATATATATATATATATATATATATATATAGAATACATTTTAAATTGTTTAAATATATATATATATATATATATATATATATATATATATATATATATATATATATATATATATATATATATATATATATATATATATATGTATATATATATAGCCAATTAACTTTTTTTTAATCATACTCTAACAATAAGTTTATGACTGTGGTTTTTTTTTTTAATTTTTTCAAATTTTTAACTCCTATGATAATATAAAAATATAATAATCTATAATACTGTATAAAATATCAGTATTTAATTTTCTTTATTTTTATGTGGTAGTCAATAAAAATTACCAATTAACACAAAATGCAAATTTTTTATGTTTTGTAGTAATTGTTTTTTAGTCATAAAACAATGGATTTAGATTTAAATTTATTTACCAAATTAAATGATAGTAATGTCAATTCTGATTATGATGATGATGACAACGGTGATGATGACAATGGCGATGATGACAATGGTGATGATGATGACAATGCAGACAATGATGACAATGGTGATGATGATGACAATGGTGATGATGATGACAATGGTGATGGTGATGACAATGCCAACAATGATGACAATGGTGATGATGATGACTACGGCAATGATAATGGTGAAAATTTAAACAATAATGTTGCAGAAAGTGATAAAGAGAATGTTTTAAAAAAAGATTCCGCCGAGGATATAAAAAAGAAACCAAGAGCAAAAAAACAGAAAGTTATAATTAACAAGGATAAAAAGATAGGCCCTCAAAAGCAAAAGGAAGTTATTCGAAACTTATTAAAGCGTTCAAGGATATATCAAATTAGGAAATTAACTCGTCGCATTGAACGTTTGCGCTCATTAAAAGGCACTGAACTACAGCTAGAAAAACACAAACGTAAAATTGCAAACTATTTAAAAGAAATTGAAGCCATGAAAAGCTTGATTATTGAGCAAATGGCTGAAAAACTAGTTGACGTATTTAAAGGTATTTGTAATGATTTTTGTAAGGATATATGGATTGCTGCATTATCAAAATCAGAAACAGAGAAAAAGTTGCAAGATTTAGGTAGTAATTTAAAGTCAGATAGTAAATTTATTGAAATAGCATACTTAAAAATATTTACTTCTAAGGATATCATCGAAAAATTAAAGCTGATAGAAAATGG